GGGACACGGAGGGACCCTGGCAGGGAGGAAAGGAGTCCTGGGAATAAGGAAGGACGAGGGGAGAAGGATGGGATGGGGAATGGGATCGGGAATGGGATCAGGAATGGGATCTGGGATCAGGAATGGGATCCAGGACTGGGATCCCAGACTGGGAGCCAGGGAAGGACTGGGATGGGGAACGGGATCTGGGAAGGACATGGATAGAGAATGGGATCCAGGACTGGGATCCAGGACTGGGATCCAAGGAAGGACTGGGACTGGGATCCCAGACTGGGATCAGGACTGGGATCCAGGGAAGAACTGGGATAGGGAATGGGATCCCAGACTGGGATCTGGGATCAGGAATGGGATCCAGGACTGGGATCCCGGACTGGGAGCCAGGGAAGGACTGGGATGGGGAATGGGATCTGGGAAGGACAGGGATAGAGAATGGGATCCAGGACTGGGATCCAGGACTGGGATCCAGGACTGGGATCCAAGGAAGGACTGGGACTGGAATCCCAGGCTGGGATCCCAGACTGGGATCCAGGGAAGAACTGGGATAGGGAATGGGATCAGGACTGGGATCCAGGACTGGGATCCAGGGAAGGACTGGGATCAGGACTGGGAGCCAGGGAAGGACTGGGATCAGGACTGGGATCAGGACTGGGATCAGGACTGGAATCCAGGGAAGGACTGGGATCAGGACTGGGATCAGAACTGGGATCCAGGGAAGAAGTCCTGAGAGGAAGGGCAAGGGGTCACAAAAGGAAAGATTTGGATCCTGGGGCTGCAGGCTCCCAGATTTTGGATTTTCCCTGAATAATCTCCCCACCCCCCACCCCTCCCTATTCCAAGCTTTGGAACGGTTTTAATTAAAATCTAAACCCTTGACTCTGTAATTAAAAAAAAATTAACAAAGAATCACATCAAGCATCCCAAGAAAGGAACCAAATCCAGCTTTTTTCCCTGAAAATCATTGGAAAACCCAGTTCCAGGGCAGCCTCCCACCCTAAAAAAACCAACAAAAAACCAAAATCCCTCTCTTCCCAAAAAATTC